CTCCATGGACCCCCTTCGACCTCCCTTCGACCCTACTTGCCAGGGATGATCCATTTGTGAACTTTTGGCATGCTAGTTAGTAATAACCTTGGACATCAGGTGTTTCCCCTAGTCCTCCTCCTCCATTCCCCCTGCCCACCAACAAGGGTTTTCGATGTGCCACTTCCTGCAAACCCTACTCGCCAGGGATTATCCATTAAAACCGTAGCAATAAGAATTACCCCCAAAATACTACTCAAATTTGTAATGTTTGTAAAACCATAGATGATAAATATAGTGACAGAATGCCTGTGAAAATATAAACGTCCTCTGAGAAAGTGGGTTCTTTGCTTATCATGGTGTGTGTGGGGGGTGTTCTTTGACACAGTGATTGGTGGGATGTAAAGATATGAACAGCTGGGAATCACTCTGAGAAATGGAGAGGACAGAACGTGAAAAGAAGGAACTGATTGAGCAGTTTAGACAAATTGAAGAACAGACAATGAAGGCCCAAAAATATCAAGATGGCCCCGGTCACACGGGCCAGATAACGCGAGGGGGGCTCTTTGCACCGGCTCAATTAGACCTGCCAGAACGCGACCAGATGTGACGGCGGCACACCGTGGTTTCGTCCGTCAGTGCGTGTGCTTCAAGGAGGACAGCCGGAGGGGGGAGCCGCACGCCGGTGCGATCACACGGAACGATTCCGTCGGCAGCCCGTGGCAAACCATTTGCTAGTACATTTGTTGAGATACTTTTTAACTGTGCAGCTTTGGCGGCACGCCACAGGTTGGCCACAGGTGCGCTACGCTTGCCAGATGTTGCGGTGTGATCACACCCTATAGTCTTCTAGGAGTCCCACACCTTCTGTTTGTCTGAGGCACGTACAGCCCTGTAGTTCCATTCACCTTCTTCCTCTTCTTCCGCAAACCAAATCGTGTCGCTGCGCTTTCCTTTCCATCACCAAAAAAGTACATTTCTTCTGTGTCCCTTATGCGGACCCCTTCCAGCATGCCATCTCGTTCCTACCCAGGTTTTTATTTTTACAGATCTCCGCTTCTCTGATCTGTCCTTTCTCAACTTAATTTCCAAAAAGATAATTCAAAACCAGGTTTGGGAAAGATCACAGCAAAGCAAGGGAAAGTGTGAACTCCCAGGGGATGACAGCCTGTGGATGCTAAAAACAAAAAACCCTGCTCCAGTTTGGATGCCAGCCACAGCCCATTCCCAGCTACAGCCCAATGCCTCCCCACACTATGAAATATTTCCCCCCACCTCTTTACAGCCTCATTTGAGCTTCTACCCTATAACACAGAACCGCTTTAACAAGGATCGGATTATGAGGCCATGAGAGTAACAACATTCCATCAATATAAGACACGAAATTTCTAGTCCTCATAAAATCTAGCCAGTTTGTCCCCCTCAGTCTGAAATCTGTAAAGGGCGTATTCTGGCCAGAGTTCAGAAATATCCATTGTGAAATGGCTGAGTTTCAGAGGTGTGCAAATTTTGTGCGCAGAAAACATTTTAAACAATTGATCTAAAATTAGTGCTTATTCTAGGAATCATAACATTTCTAGTTTTGAGAAAACCAACCAAGAATCATAGCAGTTACATGGTGAATGTCCCCACAGCAGTTTTACATTCAGCACTGGGCTGCAGGTACTGTAGACTTATAGACTGCTCCCTCTAAGCTGTGGAGTCTTGTGAGCAACAATTCCACTTTGTGAGCTACTGGCATTAACGTTGTGAGCTACTGCAAAAATTAGATTCCTCTGGAGCCATCCTTCCTGAGCTAAGACAAAAATGTGTGAGTTGGAGACTAAAAATTGTGAGCTAACTCACACTCATTCAGCTTAGAGGGAACACTTGGCACTAGTACTACATGGTGTTTAAAAACATCCAAAGTATGTAACTTAAAAAAAAAAACACTAGTTCCCCCAACCTGCAGTTCTTGTCCTACACATAGCTAGAATAAAAGAACAGGGTGCCTCTCCACCCAGGAATTTGATGCAGTACCAGAGTTCATAGTTCCTCCACTGCTGGGGGGGGGGAAACCGTCTACTTTCTCCACTATAGACCAAAGAATATATAAATCAATGGTGTGATCTTATTTGGAATACTGTGTGCAATTCTGGTCACCACGCCTTAAAAAGGATATTATAGCTTTGGAAAAAGTGCAGAAAAGGGCAACTCGAATGATAAAATGGTTGGAACACTTTCCCTATAAGGAAAGGTTAAGGCACTTAGGGCTCTTTAGCTTGGAGAAACGACAACTGAGGGGTGACATGATTGAGGTTTATAAGATTATGCATGGGAAAGAGCAGGTAGAGAAAGAGGTACTTTTCTCCCTTTCTCACAATACAAGAACTCGTGGGCACTCCATGAAATTGCTGAGCGGTTGGGTTAGAACGGATAAGAGGAAGTACTTCTTCACCCAAAGAGTGATTAACACTTGGAATTCACTGCCACAGGAAGTGGTGGCGGCTACAAGCATGGACGGCTTCAAAAGAGAATTAGATAAGCACAAGAGGGGGACCCACGATACTCGCGGGGGGGAGAAGAGCTCCGTCTCCTCCATCCCCCCCTCAATCTCCCCGAGGCGGCGGCGGCGAGGCCGGTCCTCTACCCCCCACCCCGCCCGGCTCCGACCCGGCTGAGGCGAGGCCGGTCCTCCCCCCCGCCTGGCCACCCGGCCGCCTGGCTCCGAGGCGGCGGCGGAGAGGCCGGTCCTTCTTCCCCCCTTTGCCGGGCTCGGCGGTGGCGGCGAGGCCGGTTCCCCACCCCAGCCGCACGACTCCGAGGAGGAGGAGGCGGCGCAGCGGCGAGGCCAGCTACAGAGCGTTCCCTGCGCATGCGCAGGGGACGCTCTGTCACTTTCGGGGGGATTTAAACATCCCCCCGAAATTTTTTTCAACTCTTTCGATTTTTGTGCACACGTGGGGACTGGCCCACGTGTGCACAAACCTCCCCCCCCCCAAGTGCCCCCGGAGCGCTGATTTAGCGATCCGCACTCAGGGGGCAAATTGGCCATTAGATATATAGATATGGAGCAGAGGTCCATCAGTGGCTATTAGCCACAAGGTATAGATAGGGACTCTGGGGCAAGTGATGCTCTGTCATCTTGGTGATTGGGGGGGGGTCAACAGTGGGAGGGCTTCTAATGTCCTGGCCCCACTGGTGGACCTCCTGATGGCACTGGTATTTCTGGCCACTGTGTGATACAGAGTGTTGGACTGGATGGGCCTTTGGCCTGATCCAACATTGGCATCTCTTATGTTCTTATGTTAACCACTAAAAGGGGCATCAAGATTCAGAGCAGATGGCCCAGAGCAGGGGTCCCCAACATGGAGGGTAGGTCCGGGTAGGACTTTTGATAGGCTATTGGAGACTTGATTGACTGTGCAAATTTTAAAAAATGTTGCTTTGGCAACAGCTGCCACCACAGCACAAGGATCTTTGCTGTGTGACTGAAGGCAAGATGCAGCAGCCATTGTAAAGCTGGCTCCGCCTCCTGTGGCAGCCATTTTGTGGCCACGTCCACCATGTTGTGTCAGAACTCCAAAGATGCTTGCAGGCTTTAAAAGGTGGGGGACCCCTGGCCTAGAAGCACCTTCCCATGTTGCAATAGGCTTTGAGAATGGCACAGCCAGATCTCTTTTTGTAAAGTCCTGAACCTTGATAATTTTAAAAGACTTTTCTGAAATTTAACCGGTATTACGTAGCTCACAACTGTGCCAAAGTCCACATGGTTTGGGCAGGATTCCTGAAGTCTTTCTCTTTCCCAGCCTTACTCTCAGAATGAGGGCAAATATTTCTTCTAACCTTTGACTAGCAGCAAAAATATGCGACATGCTTTTTAACCACACCCCTTTCTCCTCTTACACATAGTTAGAATAAATAAAAGGTATCTCCTGAGCACATGCTTAGCCTAAGAACTTGGGTGGAGTACCCACCCAGTACTTGCACTCCAGGAATAAGGATTCCAACGTACAGAATATTGCATAAAACCAAGCTGAACTCAACAGACGAGGTAGTTAAGAAGGATAAAAACATCAACTTATTTATTTTATTTTTATTTCAA